GAGGAGAAGGAGGATTGAAGATGAAGATGAAGATTGAAGATGTGGATGAAGATGAAGATGATGATGATGATATGATTGATGATGATGTGATGATGATGATGAGATGATGATGATGATGATGATGATGATGATGATGATGATGATGATGATGATGATGATGCTGATGATGATGATGATGATGATGAGGAGGAGGAGGAGGAGGAGGAGGAGGAGGAGGAGAGGAGGAGGAGGGAGGAGGAGGAGGAGGGGGAGGAGGAGGAGGAGGAGGAGGAGGAGGAGGAGGAGGCAGACGAGGATAAATTCGGGTAAGGACAGACTTGAGCAAGGACCGACCGTCCCAGCATTCATGTAGGCTGCCCACGAAGCGTTCTTCGGACCCAGAAATGTTCCAAGAACGATGACCTCTTAGAACCCCTAAACATGTTCCAAACACAAAGCAATGTTCTTAGAACACATGAACCCGATGTGTGACAACAAGACAGTCTCAGCCAGAAATGTTTTGAGAACATCTCGTGCAGACCACAAAAGGTTCTTAGGACATTCCTTGGTGGGCCTATAAGCCAGCTAGGACGGGCGCGAGGATAAACTGAGAATCTCGGAGTTCCAGCGGCTCTGGAGGATGTCTCGGTCTCGGGCGCCGCGGCCTTCTCAGAGCGTTCCGGAGCGCTCTGGAACGGATTTATACTCGTCCCAGCCTTCGGTCGGGCATGTCCCCCTACAAGCGGATTTTGAGCGACAAATAAAAACAAAGATACAGAACATACCCCCAAAGAGCCAAAACAATCTTACAAGATCGCCCCCTGACTTTTCTACTGTTCTTGGGCCTTCTTCCTGCATTCCGGGTTTCGGAGGAAGAGGGGGGGGGAATTTTCCACAGTAAAGCGGCTGTGGATCACGCTCTCTCATGGATGAGGATCGAGGAGGAGGAGGAGGAGGAGGAGGAGGAGGAGGAGGAGGAGGAGGAGGAGGAGGAGGAGGAGGAGGAGGAGGCGGGGCGGGCGGGTTCGAATTGCAGAGCCCGCCCGATGTTGGGTTCTCGTTTTGAATTTATTGCATGGGTTGGGTCGTCCCAGGGTAATACATTGCCATATGCGCGGTTGCTCGAGTCCGGGGAGGTGCCGTGCACGCCAGGTCAGAGCAGCGCTTTCTCAATGCCGTGGTCGACCTGCACCCCGCCAGGAGAAACAGTCACGGCAGGGTCCACTTCGACCCGATACGTCCGATTCGGTGGCGGATTTGGTCCGATCCGATTCGATTCCGAAATGCCGACGGTCGAATGCGGCCCGATGCTTGCATGGCGCTGTTGTGCATCCTGGTGCGGCCGATCCGATTCGGTTCCGACCTCGTGCCAGTGCGGCCCGATCCGACGTGCATGTCGGTTCGAAGTGTGCTGTTCTAGAACCTGTGCCACAGAGTGTCTGAGGGGCGTGATCGGTACTTCCTCCCACGTGTGCTACATGTATGTGAAGTGTGCTGTTCTAGAACCTGTGATACAGAGTGTCTGAGGGGCGTGGTGGGTACTTCCTCCCACGTGTGCAGGAGAAACCTGGTTGTCCCGAGCAGAGTTTTTATTTTTCCAGGTTTCCGTCGAGCTGTTCCTGTTCGTGCGGCTCCAGGGTTTCAAGGGGTCCCTGGTGGCTGTGAGTGGCCGTGAGCTGGCGTTGCGGGGTGCGGGGCGTGCAGCTTTGTATGCTTCCCAGAGTGCTTGTGTGTGAAGAGGCAACTTAAGGTTCAATCGGGCATGCCCCTCCACAGGAGGAAAGTTCAAAACTAGTCCAGAAATAGTCTGGGGACGATGTTCTGATTCTGGTCGTCGACTACAGTCAACGCGCCTAGTAGAGACGCGCGCCTTCATCTAGGATGCCCTTGCGTCCTTGCCTCTGTGGCCCGTCCTCTGCCGTTTTCACTGGTCGCCGCCGCCCAGAAATCCCACCTTCAGCCTCCAAGGGTCTTGTGTCCTTGCCACGCGTCCCTAACATACGTTTTGACCGTACACCTTAGGCGATGCTTAAGAAAACTGGAGTTTTCGGCCAGAGTCCCGATTATTCTTAACGTTTCAATGTAAATCCTAAGTTTTCCATTGAAATGTTGGGTTTGTATTCAAGATCTGAGACTATGAATTTCTTAACCCATGATTTCTAAAGCATTTCGCAGGGTGTAGTTTGGAGTGCTTTTCGACCACTCTGAACTCTTCCTCCAAAGTCCGCCCGTAATTAGGACCTGCCCGACCTGACCGCCAGGCGTCTCGAGGCCGGGTGGCGCCTGGCGCGGTCCACCCGCCGCCGCCTCGCGCGAGGAGGGGCACGGCGCGGGGCGCACGAGCGCAGGGAGCGAGGAGGGGAGCCCCGGCTTCCCCCGCGCGGAGGCGCAGAGCCCAGGCTGCGCCCGGCAGGAGGTGCGCGCAAGAGCGGGGAGGAGGAGCGAGGAGGGAGTGAGGAGCGAGGAGCGAGGAGGGAGGCGGAGCGAGGAGCGAGGAGGAGGGAGGAGGAGGAGGAGGAGGAGGAGAAGGAGGAGGAGGAGGAGGAGGAGGGAGGAGGAGGAGGGCCGAGGAGCGAGGGCCCCGGGTCGGTCTCTGGCCGAGGCCTCGGGCCGCGGCGGGCGGTCTCCGGCCGTGGCCCGTGGCGCCGGGCGCCTCTGCATGGCCTGTGTGCGGTGCGGTGTCGCGCGCGCCGGCGGCCGGCGTGGGCCCCAAAGGGAGCGTTCTTTTATCGGGGGAGGACAGAAGCCCCAATCGGGTCGGGCCAGCCGGGCGAAAGGGGCGGGATTGGGAAAGGGGGGGTTACGAAATTTGCTGCATGCAGCTGGTTTCGGCCTCACCGAGGGGCCCATTCCTCGATACATGGCCGCCTCCGGCGCCGGGAGGCGCGGGGAAAATCAGCTACGTGCGCTGATTCTCAAACCCCCCCTTTGCTATCCCCCCCTTTCGCCCGACCCGACCCAACAGTGACACGTCGATTACTCCAGATTTCGTCATAGAGGGAGGGGGGTCTCGTTTCGGGGGGGGGTCTCTTCCAGGCCATCTTGGAGAGCCTGGGGGGGGTCTGGGGACGATGTTTTGGAGGCTTCTCCCACGGGGGAGGTCTGAAATGGCTTGTCTTGGAGGGTCCAGACCCCCTCCCTTTTATCACGAAATCTGGTGTAGTGAATTGTCCGTTTCCGGTTTTCGAGAGGGCGCCGTGGCCGTCATTTTCCAGGCTTGCGCCCGCCAGGTTTGGGCCTCAGGTCGTTTTCACTAAACCGCGTTTTGCTCAAGGGGGGTCTGTCCGTCCCCGACTTTTGTCGGGGAAGCCGCTTCTCCGACAGGGGAAGCGCAGGGCGGGTCTGGGCAGGGCGCCACGGCGCCTCCGGCGGAAGCAGCAAGTCATGGTGTCAGCGGCTTCTGGCCTCTCCCTGGAGCCTGTACGGAGAAGCGTCGCTCGAATAAGCCAGAACTCGGACGTGCCAACGTCTTTTTTTGACGAGCGCGTCCTAGGTTTTGACGGTCCGATGTTCGTGGGACGTTTGCAGCGGGAGCTCGCGTCAGATTTCAGATTGGGCCTCGTCATTTGCATGATGGCCCCGTCAGGCCAACCCGAGTTCCCTGTACACGAGTCTTACGTCTCCCCGATTCTAGCAGTATATGTTGTGCAGTCTAGGCGGAGCAATCTGTGTGGTGCAATCTTGGTGGTGCAATGCAAGTTGTGCAATATCTGCTGTGCATTCTGTGTTGTGCGGTACATGGGGGACGTTCCAGGAAAGAAGGCCTCGCCTTCGAGTGTCGGAGAGGTAGGCACCTCCTCGGCGGAAGGTGGCGGAATGGCGGCGGAAGCTCGCGGAAGATAAACGAGGGCGCCTTCGCCAGCGGAAGCCATTGGGAAGCCAGCAGAAGCCGGCCGAAGTAAAACATGAGGAACCAGCTATATGTTGTGTCTTTTGTGGAGCAATTTACGTGGTGCAGTCTATGTGGTGCAGTGCATGTGGTGCAATCTTAGTGATGCAATCTTTGTGATGCAGTCTTTATAAATGTGTGTATATATATATATATATATCATGTCGGAGTGTTGGGGCCCCTGGCCCCCCCTGGGACACAATGACAAATAGGGCCCCCCCCCCTCGGTACCGAGTTAGCCCCCAGGGCCCGGGGCCTGTTTTTGGTGCTTGCGGGGCGGTTCCACTCCCGGGAGCGATCCAAGAGCATCCACGATCGCATCCAGTCGGCCTAAGAGGCTTCCAAGACGACCCCATAGCGCCCCAAGAGTGCTCGAAGACCGCTTAAAGCGGCCTCAAGACAGCCCAAGAGGCTCCCAAGAGGACCCCCACGAAGCAGCAATTGTTCTATTCTTTTCGGAAAACGTGCAATTTTAGCATCATCGCTTGTTTGGTTTCGAGAGCGTCCAAGGTGGCCCACGAAGCCCCCAGGGTCGCTCCAAGACGGCCCGGGAGGCCCCCAAGAGGGCCCCAAGACGGCCCGAGAGAGCCCAATGACGGCCCAAGAGCGGCCTCAAAGAGGCCCACAATGCTCCCAAGAGAGCCCCGAGAGAGCCACAGGAGGGCCACCACAGAGCCTCAGGAGCGTCTCGAGACGGCCCCAGCCTCCTAAGACTGCCCAAGAGCGCTCCAGGACGGCCATCGAGGGCCCCAAATGAGCCGCAAGAGGCCTCAAGAGGGCCGCCAAGAAGACCAAGTGATGCCATTTTGTGTGATTTTCTGTTGTTTTGGCGTTCTCGCCTCTCCGGTCTCTCAGCAGCTCACGACGGGCCTCAGAGGCATCCCCCTGGTCGCCCCAAGATCCCCAAAAAAGCTCAGGAGGCGCCCAAGACGACCAATGAGCGCCCGACGGATCGCCCCGCCATTCCTCAGTGGCACATAGGCAATTTGCGACTCGCGTTCCTGGTGAACGGCTAGAACCTGAGCGCGAAGCGCGCGCGTGGTTCTAGTGTATGATCCTTTTAACAAGTGTATGCTGCGTACCACGGCGAAGTTGCCGCACTTGATGGTCATCCGTTGCCATCTCGCTCTAGCCTCGAGCGAACTCCGCCCGTATGCTCTCAGCCGCTCGCGCGGCGGCCGATTTGCTGCTGCCAGAGCTGGGCCGCGGGCTGAGCACCGGCGTGGCGCTGTACGCGGCCAACCAGGGGCACGCGCAGTGCCCCGCGTGCTCGTGCGCGCCGCAGTTCCACTGCCCTGAGCTGCGGTGCGACTGCTCAGGCCTCCAGGGCTCGAGCAGCCACGGGCCCAGCCTGTGGGCCGTGGCGCTGGCCTGCGCCGCCAGCGGGCTGGTCGGGGCCTCCACCGCCGCGCTGGCCTTCTGGCGCGCGGGCGGTCGCTTCGTGGCGGCCCGTCGCCCACAGGTCGGTGGTGGCAGGGAGCCGGACTTCGAGGAGGAGGCCCGTGCTCAGGCGCGGGTGGCGCGCGCCAAGGCACTGCAGCAGTGATGGCGGCGCCGGCGACGCCGGTGCACCCGTCAGTGGCCGCGGCAGGTGTTCAGCCCGGCGACTTCATCGGGGTGCAGTACCACGTGGCGGGCGGGGCCCTGATCCACGAACGCGTGGTGGTGCTCGTGCCGCCAGGGCTTCCTGGCGCGGCTTGCATCATCACGCCCGACGCGGACGAGTACGAGGAGCTGTACGTGGGCTCGCCGGACGTGCTGCGGTGGGACATCTTCCCTGGCGGCGCGGCGGGAGGCACGATGGCGTGGGCGCCGGGCGCCCGCTACTACAGGTTCCGCAGCCTGCCGACGCCGGCCACGCTGCTCACCGCCGCGGCCGCAGCCGCCGGCCGTCTCGGCCTTGCCGCCCCGCCTGGGCCCATCGTGGCCAACGCAGGTGGGCGGCCGCTGGCGGCGCCGGCGGCGGCGGCCGTGGGTGCGCTGCTGCCTGCCGCTGCAGCCCCGGCCGCCGCCCCCGCTGCGGGCGTCGCCGGGCTGGTGGCCGCGCTGGGGGGCCCCGCGGGGGCGCCCGGAGCACCTGTGCCCCTCGGGCCTGGCGGTGCGCCGGCCCCGGCCCCGGCGCCCGCGCCGGCGCCCGCGCCGGCGCTTCCAGGCGCTGCTGCCCACGCTGCTCCGCCTGGCGCGCAGTCGGACGCCCGTGTGCTGCTTGTGGCGTACAACGCCCTCGGCCAGAGGAAGCTGGGCTTCTCGGAGGCTGTTTTGCGCCTCGTGGAGCAGGACTGGCCGGACTGGCCCATCTCGGGGCCGAGGACGACGCTGTGGGTGTGCCTGTTCATGAAGGACAACGGCATGTCGCCGCTGGGCCGCCACAGCAAGTGGCGGTCGGAGGGCCGCCTGGCGCTGACGGACGCGGGGGTGGCCGAGCACGAGCGCTGCTGCTTCTACTTGGAGCAGATGGTGTGCTACGATTTGCTCAATGTGCCGGGCGTGGCTGCGGCGGAGATGGTGCGCAGGAGCATCCAGGTGCAGGAGGAGAGGTGGCGGGATCGGTTCATCACCAATGCCGACGAGTCTCTCGACTCCCACCTCTTTTACGGCACCTCGGCCAACCAGGGCAACGTGTGTGTTCACCCCCAGCTGCTGGCTTACGTCAGCGGTGAGCTTTCCAAGGAGTACGCTGTGGCCAAGGAGAGGCGCAAGGCTCGGGAGGAGCGCCAGACCGCCAGGGCGCCCAACAACAAGGACAAGAAGGGCGGCAAGGACAAGGACAAGGAGGAAGGAAAGGGGTGACGGGGAGCGGGCGGCGGGACCTGGGGCTCCCCGCCGCCCCGAAGCTCGAGCACCAGGCCCTTTTTCGCGGCCCCAGTGCCGCCACCGATGACCAACGCCATCGGGATCTTTTTCCTCTTCCTCACGTGGCTCGACGGTCCGAGCGCGTGCCCGGCCGCCGCCCCTGCAGGGCCGTGCGCCAGCGGCTCCGCCGCTCCGACGTGCTGCTCCACTGGGCCGACCAGGGCATCGACGCGCTCAACTGCCTGCATGGCCATGCTGGTGCACCTCCGTCGGCGCCCGCGAACCTGCGACAGCAGACTAGCCTGGACTTTCTGGAGGACTGCAACCTGGGGATGGGCGCGATGCCGAGCGAGCCAGGTTTTTGTGAAGAAGCCCTCCGCGAGCTTCTCAGTGGCTCCACCGTCTACTCCGAGGATGGTGGCGCACGGGTCCCGTACTCGAAGGAGCTGGTATTGTTTGTGTGTTGGTTGGTTGTTGGTTCTTATCTTTTGCTGTTTGTTGCTGGTGGTTGGTCTGTGTTTTTATTTTGTTGGTTGTGTGTGTATTCTTTGTTGTTTTGCTTTTGCGTTGTTGTTTGGTGTTTTGTTGTTTGTTTGTTTTTTTGTGCTGATGTTTTTTGGTGTTTGTGTGTCTATTCTTTGGTCTCCTGGCCTGAGGTGGGTTCCAGCCCCGTCGATCTTGTGGGCTGCCTCACTCAGGATGATGCTGATTGGGCACGGGATTGGCGACATAACTTGCTCAAGACGCCCGACGAGGCGCTGCTCGGGGCCCGACAAGCTTGTCTCGCGGACCTTTCGTTGACCCTCGGTTGGCGCGAGATCCAGTTTTGTATGGTGATTTTGTTCGGCGGCTTCATCAATGTGGAATGTTGCGCTTCAAGGCGGCCCCCACTGCCAAGCACATGATTGGTGTATTTTTTGTGAGGAAGAAGTCCGGCAAGCTTCGCATAGTGTTCGACACGAGGTATGCCAACGCCTACTTCCACCCGGCGCCCGCGACGCGGCTGCCCACGGCGGCCGCGGCGTCTTCAGCGGAGTCGGGCGGCTTTTTTTTTTCTTTTTTTTTCTTATTTTTTTTTTATTTTTTTTCATTTTTTTCTCTTTTTTTTTTTTTTTTTTTTTTTTTTTTTTTCATTTTAGCTTTTTTTTTTTTTTTTTTCTTTCTTTTTTTTTTTTTTTTTTTTTTTTTTTTTTTTTTTGTTTTTCTTTTTTCTTTTTCTTTCCTTTTCATTTCCTTTTCTTTTTTACCTTTTTTCTTTTCCTTTCCCCCCACCCCACTTTTTTTTTTTTATTTTTTTTTTTGTTTTTCTTTTTTTTTTTTTCTTTTTCTATTTTTACTTTTTCTTTTTTTTTTTTTTTTTTTTTTCTTCTTCTTTCCTTTTTTTCTTATATTTTTTTATTTTTTTTTTTTCTGTTTTCTTTTTTTTTTTTTTCTTGCCCCTGTGCGTGGCGGCCGGCGACCTCGACAATGCCTTCTACCGTCTCAGGCCCATGTCCGGTTTAGAGGACTACTTCACGCTGCCCCCGCTTTCCTCGACCTTAGCGGGCATCACGGAGCTGGAGGGGGTCAGCATTCCGGCAGGGACCAGCTTGGCTCCCTGCCTTGCCATCCTGCCCATGGGGTGGTCGTGGGCGATGCACTTCTGCCAGGCTGTGACCATGCGCGCCATTTCTCTGGCGGGCTTCGCGGACTCGCAGATTGTGGAGAACGGTCGTTCCAGCGTGGCCCTGCCCGCCCGCTCAGACACGGCGGCGGCGGGCTACGTGGGCAACTTCTACGTCTTCGGCCACGACGCCTCGCTGGTCACTCAGCGCCGGGACGACGTGTCGGCCGTCTTGCGCGGGCGGGGCTTGACCGTCCATGAGGAGACGGATGCCTCCCCCGACGCCGTGCTGGTGGGCCTGGAGCTCCGGCAGGGCCGCTGGCTGTCCATCAAGCGCCGCAACCTGTGGCGGCTCCGTGCGGCGCTGGATACCGTGCTGTGCCGGGGCTGCTGCTCCAGCAAGATGCTTGAGGTGCTGGTGGGCCACATCGCGTGGGCCTGCTTGATCCGCCGTGAGCTGCTGTGCGTGCTGTGCTCCGTGTACCCGTGCATAGCGGCCGGCCTGCCGACGACCTCGCGGCTGTGGCCCTCCGTGCGCCAGGAGCTGTGGCTCGTCCGCTCGCTGCTCCCGCTCCTACAGAAGGACCTGAGCAGCCCGTGGCACGACGTGGTCGGAGTGAGCGACGCCTCCGAGTTCGGAGTCGGCGTCGCCGCGCGGCCGGTGCGGCCTGACGCTGCGGCGCAGCACGGCCGCCAGTGCGAGAGGTGGCGTTACCGAGTGCACGGTGCCGAGAAGGCCCGCGAGAGAGCTCTCCGCCCTCAGCCTCTACCATCCTCCGCATACGACACAGCTTCGCTGCCTGCCGGACTGCAAGGCCTGGACGTCTTGGGGCTGGAATCATTCATCCGGGTGCACCCGAGGGAGTTCATGGAGGTGCCCAAGGAGTTCTTCGACGGGGCTCGCTGGGCTCCTGTTATCGCCTCGGGTCGTCGTGCCCGACAACATTCTGGCTCTGGAGGGGGACGCGTGTGTCTTGGGCATCAAGCACATCATGAGGTCCAGGGCCGCTTTCGGGAAGCATATTCTACTGTTCGTCGACAACATGCCGTTGGCCCTGGGTTGTTGTAAAGGAAGGGCCGCATCCATTCATCTTCGTCGTACTCTTCCTAAACTGTGTTGCTTGGCGCTGTGTTCAAACTGTATTATTCACATACGCTGGACGTGTAGCGAGTTCAACCCTGCCGATGCTCTCTCTCGTGGGCGTTTAGGCTGGTTCTCAGGGCCTTGCCGACGCGCTGCTGCCGCCCAGCCTGGCTGCTCTCGCGCGGGGCCCCCCGAGGCTGACGGGCCGATACCTGCTGGAGCTGACCTCGATGGCGGGTGCCTCGGCCTCTCGCCGCCAGGCGGATCGCCACCGCAGAGCCGCGGCGGCTCGCCAGGTGGCGTCCGAGCGGGGGCGCTCGGGCGGCCTCTCGGTGCTGGAGCGCACGGCGGTCAGGCCGGGCACGGAGCGCCGGTACCAGGTATACCTCCGGGCCTTCCTGCAGTTCTGCCTGGTCATGGCCATCGACTGGACGACCGAGGTCGAGATGGACGTCGCCCTGGTCATGTACCTGAATTCGATGTACTTCGAGGGCCGCGCCCCGAACGAGGGCTCCGCGCTGCTGGCGTCGCTGGCGCGCTACACGCCGGCGCTGTGCAAAAGGGCGGCCCAGGCCTTGCCGAGGGCCACGCGCTGTCTGGCGGGCTGGCGCCGACGCGTCCCGACCAGGATGCGCCTGCCGCTGCCTCGCCGGGCCGCCTTCGCCATCGCCGGGACGCTGGCGCCCTGGGGCCAGCCGCGCATGGGGCTCTTCGTGATGCTGTCTTTCGCGGCCTATCTCCGCCCGCACGTGCCGGGCGCGTTGGCCCACCTGGGACAGGCCCCCACTCCGTGGGGGCTGCTGCTGCACGACTCCGACTTGCAGCTGCCCGGGAAGACCAACCTGTGGGACGAGAGTGTGCTACTGGACCAGGCGCCGTGGCTCGAGCCTGCCCTGGAGGCGCTGAGGACTGTCGCGGGCGACGGACCCTTGTGGGACTTCCTGCCTACGTCGATTGCTCGGCTCTTCGAGGATGCGTGCCAAGCCCTGGGCCCCATGCACTTGCAGCCGCATCTGTACTCTCTGCGTCACGGGGGCGCCAGCGAGGACCTGCTGTCGGGCGCCAGGACGCCGGAACAGGTCATGCGGCGGGGTCGCTGGGCCACAGTGGCCTCGCTCCGCCGCTACGGCAAGGAGACCCGCCTCCTCCGGAAGGCCGCCAAGGTGGACCCCGACGTGCTGCTGTTCGGCGAGATCGTGGAGCGCAACTTCCTGGACGGGTTGCGGGGCGGCCCCCTGATGCCGCTGGTGTGGGCCGAGCTGCCCGCGAGCGTTG